AGAGTGTGTATTTTTTTGATTTTCCACATATTGACAGAATGCAGCACTGAATAATAAAAACAGAACAAAGCATAAGCTCACAGTAAAATAAGAGAAATATTTTATTTGATGGAGTTGATCAGTAGAGCACTGGGGACAGCAAGACAACACACATTTTCATTTGCTCTGAAAAATAGAAATGATCTTTGTGAAAGAGTCCAGGGCACAGACAGAAGTAACTTTGCCATGACGCAGAGTATGGCACAGCAAAAATCAAACAACTGACCAAGAGGCTAAACTCAGTTGTGCTCTGCTCCTCTGCGAGGCAAATTCTGCATCCTGGAGCAAATAGTTACTGTTAAAATTTTATTTAATTGTTACTTGAATAAACTTTTCAACATTTCAAAAGGATGTAAACCATACTTCCACGTTTTGAGATGCTTCTTCAGTTTTTAACAGTCACAGCACCAGAAGTGCCCTGCACCTTTTGTGTGCAAGTCTGGTATTTGAAGCCTTTGGTTTCTCCTCCACAAGCAAAAAGTCCAGTTTCAACTTGAATGTTATCTCCCTGGCAGGCACAGCGTTGCTGATGGTTGTGATCAACACTAAGGAGAAAAAAAGAGGGTGATGAACTGTATTGTTTTAAATTATCAGTGTAATTTTCAAAGTGCTATTCAAGATATGTACGTATTTGAGATTTAATGTTTCATGAGGTCCTGACACTTCCAAGCTGACAGTTCAATTGGCAGGATGAAAAGTCGGACACATAGCCTGATTTTATATTAGTTTATTTGGAATCCGTGGGTTCATGCAGCACAACGGGATGATGCTAATTCTACGAGCCTTTGACCATCGATGAACCAAAGTACTTGACATTTTTCACTTTTCTTTTCACTGCTTATTGGCCTGTTAACCAGAAACAATTATTCCTCCTAAATCCAAGAGAACTCTTGTGTGTGAATACACAATAGAAATGACAAATATGCAAAAAGAAAGGGAATATGCTCAGGAAGAAACAACTGAAGAAATGCATAAGGAAGAGGAAGCAAAAGAGCTTTTTTGGCCTCCACATGCTTAACACTTGAGGCACAAAGAGAAGTTGACTGAATTGAAGTCTAAAAATTAATTTTCTGTTGCAAGTAAAGCAAAAGCAAAGGCACCTGGAAGTTAATCTATGTATCCTCCCTCCACAGTCAAGAGAAAGATATGAGTTCCAGGTATCTATTTCACCTGTGTTTTGTTGTTGTTGTTTTCCTTTGTTATTTTTGGCAGTTTAACTCCCTGAACTACCACCGTGTTTGGGCCCTGAATACCCCAATACACCTGAATGCCCCACACCAGCATTACCTGGGATCCCCCAGCCTTGCCCACAGCTCAGCCTGGGGCCATCATTCCCTGTCCCAGAGATGCCACAGGTGTACTTGGCTCTGGCCCTGTGTCCTGGAAGGACCTTGGAAGGTGGCCCTTGGACCCATGTTGCACCTTGGTTTCAGTTCTGCCTCTGGCACCAATCTTTGCCCTCAACCAGACCTCCACGATGAACCCTAAGACTGCTTCAGCCCTTATCATGTTTGAGGGTTTTGAAGAACCCTGCTACCAGTACCCAGCTCTGGCCACCATGTCCAGATCCTGCGGGACTGTGCCCACTGGTGACGTGGCACTACATGGGATCGGACACACTAGTGTTAAGGCCAGAGGTGTGGAAAAAGGCTGGAGAGAACAGTTCTCCAGCAGAGAACTGGAAGATCAGCATAGCCACGTGGTAAAGCCAAACTTCTAGGTCCTCTGAATGCCTTCAGTACAAGGAAATTTACCCTCTCAAGCAAACTCTTGGCTTTATTCAGTCCCTGCATACAAGTTTACTGAATTGGATTTACCTACATGCTCTTAAAACCTATAGTTAATCATAACTTGTCTCAAAACATCAAGCCATATTTTGACAAATAAAAGATGAAATACATTCCATGGTAAACCACCGATTCCAACTGCTACATATACCTTCTGTTGCCTAACTTGGCAATATACGCAGCTAAACTGACATTTGGGAGATTTTCCATTTCTCAGCTGCAAGTGAAATTTAACACGAAGGCTTCTGGGGAGTATTTAAATCTCTCAACATATACATGCCAATTACCTAAAAGCATGATAGACTGACGGCTGGCTGACTGTCAGCTGTTCGGTTGTATCTGTGTCTGTCCTGTAACATCTGGAATCTGTACAAACAAAGAAGCATCACAGATAAGTCATGCACAAAATAAGTGAGAAGGATTAGATTTTGTCATGGACCCCAGCGATGTAACTGATGTAACAGCAGCACAGCAGTAACACAGCAGGCTAGCAAGCTGCAAACTGGTGCGTAAAATTATATGATTTGCCCAGGGTCAAGAATATATAACCTCTACTTCATCTTTTTCATAAGTACTTAATTATTCCAGATGGAGACAGTAGGAAAATTAATGTCTCTTTTCACTTCCCTGCTCTCCCTTTGTCACACGGAGGGGAAGTGTTGTCACTGCCTGGCGGTCGGAAACCCAGCCAAGCTCAACAAATGCCAGCAGCAAACCTGGGGAGAGGGAAAGCCCTCCTGCTTTCAAATGCCATCATCGAGGCAGCTCCTTTTTGGCAAAAGAAGGTAGGAAGCAATTCTCCGTTGCTGACCATCTGTGAGGAGAACACTTCAACAGTTGGTTTGCTTGCACGCTGACCATCCCTCGGAGTCAAGGGGGTGGGAGGCTATGAACACAGGGCAGATGGAACCTCAGAGCCTGCTATATCTTGAGGGGTAGGCAGCCCCTTGAAGCTGAGAGGGTGGGAAAGAAAACAGGCTGATCCAGGAATCCCAGCAGGGAAAAGATTTAATGTTTTGAGAAGGACCACAGGTATTCACAGGGACATAAATTGGCCACAGTAAGAGCTGGCAGGGAATTACCGAGGTGTTGGAAGTTGTGGCTTAGTCAGATGGATATGTAAGAAGTGCTGCATGTTAGGAGTTAGGAAAAAATGCAGTCATCCAGGATTGGGAGCGGAAAAAAATCAGGGCTATCCACAGGCATGGTTACAGGACCTCCATTCACTGCCTGGCAGACCTGTGCAGAAATACAACGTTTGGTAAAAGAGCCCGGTGCATGAGACCTACTGGGCATGTTGTGGTGCTCCCGTAAGAGTATCCTGACCCCTTCAGACTGCCTCGCAGAAGTGCTCTGAAATTAACTAAAACCGTGCTCCATGCTGATTGCCAGATGACACTTAGACTAGAGAAAGCTTAATTAACAGCTGCTGTCTGTGCTAGGTTCAGCTCTCACCAATCATATTTAAATTGGTAGAGAAAATAACAGGCAGAGTAAAACAAAGCAAAACAGAACAACAAAGATAGTTCTTCATTGTTAAAACTAAACCAAATTTTGCTTCTTATAAAGCAAAACCTTTTTAGTGATTTGTCGAGATTTTCTTACAACCTTGTTGGGTTGGCAGAACATCAAGGGAATAATTTTCAAGAAATCTCTACAGATATATTGCTTATAGAACCCAAACAATCAAATGTGCACACTTACCTACACAGCTTGCACAAGAAATTTGGGGAACCTCATTCTACTGATTAAGCATCAATTTATGTGCATTTATGTTCCTTGTATATTTGTAACGTCACATGGATCACAAAAACCTGAAACATTTTGATAAAAGACTGGTAAGATTAAAGCAAAATTATTAATGTTTTTGAATATTCACTGTCAACATCAACTCACATGTGCTTACCCAAACCTCCCCTTGATCCTCGAAACAGACTTCAGTGTCTTTTATGCAATTAACAAACAGAAATGGCTTTTCCCCTATTAAAGGAAAATCATTCCTATCCCTCCACCATGCCAGTTGATACAGTTCTCAACCAGGTCGCTCTGCAGAAGCCCAGATCCTTCCAACCACCCAGAGCACTGCTTTTACGACCAGAGATGCTTTTTAAGACTACAGCGTTTGCTGGGAGGCGGCAAAGAAAAATAAAAACAGTTTATGACGATTTGTGAAAAACTTCAAAGAAACTTTGAGAAACCTATTTATTAATGGCCATGAGGTTTTTGTTTATTTGTTTTTCTCTCCAGTAAAACTGTGTTCCGCAGAATGGAAGACATTAAACATGTCTAAACATTACAATCAAAGAAATACAGAAGGTCTCACAATTTACACTAGTGTAAAGTGTAAGTATTTCTGTCTCCTGGTAGTTGCTGGCCTTGTGCTGAGTGTTTAGACAATTCAAGAAGCCTTTATGCCAAAGGATTAGTGTTTTTATGTAACTTTATCAATTATCAGAATATTACTGTTTTGTAATCACGATCTAATTACTAAAAATAGCCAAGTGGTGATAGATCAGGATTTATTACCAACCAGATGATCGTCATCTCGCAAACTGACATTTGTAATCCAGACAGGAATTCAGCTCAGTGACTTATGTTACCTTCCTCCCTGCCACATGCCACACCATCTATCAACAACGTATGGCAAATCTCTGCTGAATGAAAGACATGGCTCCAAATGAGTTATCTGTCTACACCAAACAATTTAAATTCTTGGGGAAAGGAAGAAAACAAGACCACACTATAACATCTTCAACTGCAGCTTTCAGAGTACTTCATTCAAGGGCAATACTTATCCCAGCTTCCATGTGAGCGAAGTACAAGCCTCAGTAGCAGCTGTATTAAATTGCATTTAAAATGCTAGCCAAGGCACAGAAATATTGAAAAGAAGAATTAGGATTAATTTTCCTTAAAAAGATTTGTAGTGGTTAATAATTTCAGATTCCAGAGAATGGAGTCAACCTATTTATGTGATGAATTCACTTTAACTGGGATTTTTTCAGATAGCTTAAGTAGCTATAACACATTTTTTCTTTTGGATAATTGGACTCTTGTGCATTGTGAGACCCTGTGAAAATAAATGCTCATAATGACAATTTTTAAAATGATCTCTCAAAAAAACAGAAGTGGCACTGAACTGGAAAAATGTTGTGAAAAATAGAGATAAAGGTCTCCTTTAATCGCCACTTGTTTTTATTTAAAGTAGCTACAGATGTACCGAGAAAATGGAATACTTAGAAGGCTGTAAAGAAATAAGACTACAATAATGACTGCTATTTGTATCGCAGCATTTGCAATTCCTGTATGGAGGAATGAGGATTTCCATCAAGGTTTTAGGCAAAGAAACTGCTTTTGGCCACGTAATGCCAGAATACACACGCTATGCACTTGCTGCAGTGATTTAAATAAAATGACAAGATCACAGAATTGTAGATTTGTGCACTCGAAGGGAAGAAGAACATCCAGAAACGTTTCCTGACCACACTGTTTGTAAGAGAGGGCTTCCATAGGAGTCAGTACTGGGCCAACAGTCAGCCTGGAGGGAATACAGGCTGAGGTCTTTGACACATGCTAAAATACCTCATTCTGAGATGCCCCATCAACTCTTCCTTTTCAGAGGGTGGTTTCAGATATTTGGCAGTCTACCAAGCACACTGAGAGACTGATTTTGCAAGCTGTGAGCCTGCAGTGGCTTCCCAATAAAAAAAATATTCTGATAAAGATAGGAAGTAAATAGGGAAAGAGAAGCAATTCCATTAATGACAATGTCCTCGTGCAGTCTCCACAGCTCTCCTTGCATCGATTCCCTGGTGCCTGCCAGCAGAGCAGGGCTCACTGCTTTGCCCACAAGGAAAGCAGGACGTGTTCCTCTGCTCCTCAGCTTCTCACAGCTCTCCTGTCCATCGCTCCTCTGCTCCTCAGCCTCGCACTGCTCTCCCCTCCATCCGACTGAGTTCCTTAACAAAGAGGGATTGCAAGACAGAAGGACAGACACACAGCAAAAAAAAAATGGTGAAATTACAATATCTTTGGCAATTCACATTATTAATGAAGACTCCTGAGTTCTAGACTATCAACAATATCACCGTTTGTAATTGTTGGCTCATTGTTACAGGTCCACGGGGTTCTTAGGTCAGAATCCACCCAAGCTCATATTTTATTGCATGGAAATCATGCTTGGGTGGGATTGTAATGAAAGGTGCAATTTTGACTGCTAATTTTCCCAAGAAAGTTTAATTTATGCCGTGGGCCACATGAATGTGCTTTGAAAAACTGCTATTGATGATTTAGGGTGTGTAATCCAACTTGATACCAACACACTCCTAGAAGAGGTTCTGCCCACCACCCAAATTCAGCAGCTAACGATTGAGGCAGTGTAGGTAGTAACGGCAGGCTGATTTATTACCCACTTCAGACATTTTTGCTCATAACTGGATCACTGATACCCCAGGATAAGGGGAGAAGGGCTACTGGAATTACTGGGTATGACCCCATCATTATGTACATGTATTTAAAAAAAAAAAAAGGAAAAAACACTACTGAGGACATTGTTTCACATCAGACTAACAATAAAAGAAGCCAGTGTGAGGAATGAGACCCAGGGAGCGCTTGATGCTGAGGGGATCTGAAGGAAAACCCCAGCTCCCCCTCAGCCCTCCTGGGGGAACCATCGAGTTTGCCTCAGGTGGGGCTAGACAAGCCCAGCCAAGCCCGCTTCCTGCCTCCTGGGCTCCTTCTGATTGGCTGAGCCGAGCTCCCCCCTCCCAGCCCCGCCCGTGCCGCGGCCGCTCTGTGCCGCCACTCGCTGCCCCCGGGTCCTCCAGGGCCGCCATTTCCCCGCCCCTGAGGCGCGGCGCCCCGCTGCCATTTTCCTCCCCCCCTCCTTCTCCCCCCGGCCACTCCCAGCCCTTATCGCCACGCTCGCCCTCCTGCACCTGCGCTTCCTCCTCCTCAAATGCCACCTCGGTGCTTCCACGTTGCGGTAAAGCGGCTCTTTTCTCCTTTCCCTCCCGCGGTTCCCTCCCCTCAGCCGCTCTCCCCTGCCTCAGGCGAGCTCCGCAGCCTGCAGGTGCTGCTTTTTGTCCTTATTCTCCTCTGTTCTGCTAAACTGTACGGCGTTTTGTGGGGTTTTCCCCTCTTTGCAAGCACCAAGGTACTTCATAAATCGCTAGGGCTAGCAAGCGCTTTCTCTTTTCCTTTTAAATCCATTATATTTCTGTGTGTGTGGCCACACTTGGGAATTAGAGTGCTTTGGAAGCTTGTTAAACGCCGCACTGAAATAAAAGTGTGCCCAACAGTAGCAGTGGGGCAGCCCAGTCGCCCACCTGCAGGGTCTGTGGTCGATAACTGGGTTTCTTCCTCCTGTCCTCAGGCTCCCGAAGGTAACTCAGCAGGTGCAGGTGGGCACCGACGGGAGCAGGAGAGCAAAAAGCTGCACGCAGGTGCACCAGGAAAGGAGCACGGTTTGAGTCAGAGCAGGCTGGTGTCACAGGAGTAGTGTACTCAAACAGATAATGTTGTTATAACGCTCGTTTTCTCCATTTTTCTTATGTTCCGGAAAACACTTACTGTGTTTTCCCCTATAAAATCCTATAGAGACATCTATAGATAAAAATACAGCTATAACTGCAAAGCTGAAAGCATTTTTTCCTCATGCTACTTCTTTTTTCCTCCATAAGAAGCGTCTCAGTGTGGTGTGGAGCAGTAGTGCCCAAACCTGTGAGCAGATGGGATTGCTGTAGCTCGTAGCCTCTGAGAACATCTGTTGAGCATCTCTGATGCAGAGCTAATAACCAGATCCCTCCGTTGCTCTTTCCAGTCCATAGTGTTGAGAGTATTTCAAGGGAAAGCAGGGCTTAGCCAGTGAAATCCCTGGCTGCTGAATAATACTCATGAATGCTGGCACTGCAATACAGGAGCTTAAAGTCCTCTGGCTAAAGCTGCCTGCTGTTGTGCCTGAGTTGCCTTGGTTGTCTTCTTCAAGTTGCAGTATACTTTAACAGGCTCGGTGAAACAGCTTTGTGGTGGATCTGCTTTTTTTTCTCTAAACTATTAAAAAGGGCAAATCTGTACTTGTGCTGTGAAGCTATCGCTTTCTGTTTCTCGGGTTACGTGTGGATTTTTTTTGCCTGTGTCATCAAAAAATACAGCGGTCTTCAGTCTCATTTCTGATCTGTCAATATAAATGTTTGGTATAATGGTTTGGTGTTACGGTTAATATTTGGTAGAATGGTTTTTAACTTGTTAAAAATATTTAAAACTGCACTTCTTTATGTAATGTTGATCTTGAGTAAGATATTAGTACTTCCCCAAAGATATCCAAGAACTCCCCTTTTGGCTCTAGGAAGATGTCTGTATCTGTTCAGCCTCTTGTGAACCAAGGCGCTGTGGCAGTAGCACAAAATAACCCTGTTCAGTTTGGCTTCACGAGTCTCTTTTGGTAGCAGCAGCGTTGGAAAGGGGACATCAGGGTTAAGGAGAAAGAAATGTTGTGGTTTTAGGGGAATTCTGGAGTTAAATAAGCATTGCTGTTACTAAGGGCATAAGGTTTGTGGTGGGAGGTAGGACCTTTTTATTAGCTCAGCCTTAATTCCAGTCAGAAAATGTGCTTGTGAGCTCAAAATTTGTTTGTTTCCTCACTATTTGTCTTGTACTCCCCCCTGACAGCAAACAGAAGATCTGATAGATGTTGCCTCCTTTCATATCCATAGACCCCTAGTGTCTAAAATAGCATTGCGACCGCAGGCCAGGTTATTAGTGCTTTCTCTAGTTTGCTTTTAAAGACACCTGGTGTAACAGCTTTTCTCTAACCGATCACTTTAATTCTAAACTTTACAAATTGTTGGTATCTGTTTTCCCCTCTTTGGAGCACGATGTTCCTCCAGTGGGGACATTGCTGGCTATGGATCCTGATGCAGCAGTGAGTTATGAGCCTCAAGAACCTCAGAAACTCAATTTATGGAGGGGGGAGCCTTTCCGCACTAGCAGCCCCTAATTCACCCCGACTACATGAAATTTACCCCAGCTCAGTGGGGCTCAGCCCCTTCAGCTGATCAGGGCAGACCTTATTGCTCTCTGCAGCTACCTGAAAGGAAGGTGTGGAGAGCTGGGAGTCGGCCTCTTCTCACAGGGAACTGGTGACAGAACCAGAGGGAATGGCCTCGAGTTGTGCCAGGGGAGGTTCAGGCTGGCAATGAGGAGCCATTTCTGCTCAGAAAGAGCAGTCAGGCACTGGGACGGGTTGCCCAGGGAGGTGGTGGAGTCCCCGTCCCTGGGGGTGTTCAAGGAGAGGTTGGACGTGGTGCTTGGGGACATGGGTTAGTGGTGGCATTGGTGGCGGGGGGTGGTTGGACCAGGTGATCTGGGAGGGCTTTCCAACCTTAATGATTCTATCACTCATTAAACAGTTTTTTCTCTAACTGATCACTTGAATTCTGAACTTAACCAATTTGTGGTATCTGTTCTTCCCCCTTTGGGGCACAATCACCTTCATTCCTCAGTTGGCGCATTGCTGGCTTTGGATCCCGATGCAGCAGGGAATTAACAGCATTCAGGAACCTCAGAAGCCCCAAGGCTTCACAGTGGGGGAACCTTCCCACGCTGCCAACCCCAAATTCACCTGACTGCGTGAAATTTACCTCAGCCCTTGGGCTGATCCTTGACTGTGAGCACGGGGAGCCCGGGCACAGCTCCGCACTCGGGGCAGTCCCTCACGATAAGGGGAGGTTCTGAGCCCCTTGTAACCTCTGAAACTAACATATATACACGTTGGAAGGGAAATCTCTTTATATATGAGAGAACTTCATATGTGCGTTTGTATTTTTTATATTTATTTCTCGCTTCCCGCGGCCGCCCCCTCTCCCTCCCTCTCCCTCCCTCAGCCCCGTCAGCGGCGGCGCATGCCCGTGTGAGGGGCGAGCATGCGCGCGCCGGGCGGGCGGGCGGGGAGCGGGGCCGGGCCGGGCCGTGCCGGGCCGCGCTGCGCTGCCATGGTGAGCGGGGCCGCCCCCCGCCTGCCCCCGGCCTCGCCCGCTTCACGGAGCCGCCTGAGGTACGGGAGGGGAGCCACGGCACAGCTCGGCTCGGTTCCAAGTCCTTGGGTTTGCGGGGTGTGGGCGCCCCGGGGGTGGGGGGGGTGCGGGCGGCTGTGCGGTCGTGGGGTGTGTGGGGGTGTAGTGAGCCCAGTGAGCTGAGGGGGTCTGGAGGAAGGTGATGGCCCTCAGGGGGATATTGCATGGGGTGTGTGTGTAGGATTAAAGGCACGGCGACAAACGCGGTGTTGGAGATGACAGAAATGCCCGTGCCCACCCGCACAAGGCGGTTTAGAAAGTTTTGTATTAATGTGCTTCCAAATTCTCTGACTTTGTTGTGTTTCCATGCACGGTACAGAAAGTGGGAAGAATGTGAAGTGGGGCTGAGCTGACACCAGGGTTGTGTGTAGGGCAGCAGGCAACCCCATCCAGTATTTCCTCTGTGCTAATAAATGTTACGGCTCCAGTCACTACAGCAAAGCAGCAGCTCAGCCATATCTTTGTGGCCAAGTTTCCCAGCTTTTCCCTGAATTACTTGGAGTGCAGTTGAGGTGATCCCATAAACCACAAGTATGTGGTGTAGTAAGGACAGGACTTTCCAAACCTTCCTTCCCAGATCATCTTTTTTTTTCCTTTTTTTTTTTCCTCTGCATAACCAAACTTCTGTTCCAGCATCCGTCTCTTCTTCCTGCTTTAACTGCATTTTCCTCAAATCCCCTGTAACACCCAGTATTATTTTCTTGGTCCCTGCAGGCTGGTTTGGCTGCTGCTCCCAAGCGCAGGGCCTGCACCTTCTCACTAAGATCCAAAGCAAACTTCCGTAGTGAGGAAATGGCAGATGTAGATCGTGACTCTTGAGCTGTTAACTTCCATTTCCACGAAAGCCTATTCCTTATTTCATGGTAGCGAAGGCTGCATAGCACCGGAGAGGGGCAAAAGAGGGAATAATTCTTAAGTAATTTCACTAGGCCACATTGGAGGCACGATGTGCTCTTGGAACGGGGGAGAGAAATCAGCAGATTTTTCTACGAGATGATGATGAGTGTCTCACGTGTTAACTTGGTAGCTTAGCCTGCCTGGTGTCTTTAAACAAGGTATGATAATATGACATATTTTCCAAATCTAGTAGATGCACAGTGGTTTTCTCAGCTTCAGGTTCTGGGCAAAGTGCAGCACTTCCTCAGGAGGAAGGCAGCAGTGCCAGCTTGTTAAAACATGCGGTGTGTTGGCAGTACGGAGTTGTGAGTGCATTTGCAGAGTTTGGAAACAGTTTAAAACCGCTTCTTGGGCAGGCTGCTTCTCTCAGCATCGTGCTGCTTAATGTATTGGGGACTCCAAAGAAATGAGTTTGTGTCACGGACAAAAAGGATTCTGAAGGACGGAGCTAGGATTTGATACTTAATTTGCCTTGGGGGCATTTTTATAGGAAAAAAATCCTGTTATGATCATAAAATTCTAAAGCTGTGAAAGTAAAAATGCAAAATGCATTCTTTTTTTTCCCTTCAATATATAATGTGTCCACGTTGGCTGGATACAGGAGCCCAGAGCAGTTTGAAGTCCTCCTGAGTTTATGCAGCCAATTCTATATTTTTTGCTAAATGGATGACTTCCATGCACTGTCAGATCTCTTTAGCAAGCTTACTTCAGAACTAAGTTTGTTTTTTAAATGAAAATTCTGTATATCCGATATGAGCAGGAATTTCATTGAGAAGTCAATGAATCATAGTAA